CGCTTAGACCTCTCTAACGGATCCAGGCCTAGGAGTGTAGAGTAGGTGGGTGCCGTGCATACCTTTCCATATGGACTCAACAGGGTATTGACATTATTCAGGCCCCAGAGCTCGGTGTCGATGAGAGTGCCGTCCAAATCAAATATCACGTGAGTTATGCCATTGATATCACTGTTAATTGTTTCACACATTGTATGAAATTATAGTTTTTAAGACCTTTTTCAGAGATATTATTGCAATTTTGAATCAAGTATTGCACTTAAAACATACAAAATTATTATTTAATATATTGTAAATGTCGGAGCTTTTCAAACGCTATTTAATTTGAGTACAAAATGTTTTATCATTTGTTTGTTTGAATACAGAGTTTTTATCATTTTAAATATTATGTTTGCCTTAAAGTAACATTTTATTGCCGGTAATTGTATTTAGAGGTCTCACTAATGGTGATCAGGAATATTTCATAAAGTTGTTCAAACTTTGTTACTAAATATACTTACATTTAAATTATTAAAAATCATTGAATACTTTTAGACAAATTAAAAATTATTTTTTCATTAAAATCTATAAATTAATTTACTTAATAAATATCATATATAATTTCTCAATATAATGCATATTTCGATACATAAATGTAAAAATGTCTTAACATTGACATTAATTGCTGAGATAATTACAGTGCAAAGCCTATTCACATAAGTATTACTGTATGTTGTATTGTATAGAGTCCGATGTCCTTGTCTTATATAAAGTGGTTTTTATCAGTAATTTTATTACATATTAAACTCAAAATATCTATTGATTGATGTATTTGACAGTTATTTAATTGAATAACAATAATCTCCAGTTCCCTTTCATTCACACTCCGGACACCCTATTGGTAACAATAATTATTATGACAAATACTGTACAAAAATATGTACTTTTATAGGTTATTACTACTAAACCACTTCATAATGGACTTTATTATATAATATTTGTTATAAATATTTGATATATAATTGTTTGAAATATGTATTGATTAAAAATAGGATCTAATATTTTATATCACTTTTAAAAGGCATAATTGTTTGACATTTTAAAAACACTATTATTTTGTAGAGTTATACATTTGCTAAATATATTTTTGGTAATAAATTTAAATTTTGTTTTATAAACAGCGATTATAATAGTATGCAAAATTTTCCCATTAACACGAATAAAATTTTATTTAAATATCATTATAAAATAAGTTAGTGTTAAAAATAAATCTTAAGATGCTACCTAAAAACAATTACCTTGCATAAAATTAATAGTACTGTATTCGTAAATAAATATTTCCAAATTTATTAACTTTTAGGTTATTAACTGGTATTATTTATTAATAACAAACTTAAAAAGTATTATGTATTTTTACAATTGTTTATATATACTTTTTATTACAAAACCCTTTAACTATTTTTAAATATCATAAATATTACAAATATAAATGTAATGCACAATACTGTATTATGCTTAATACCTGTATATCATTTAATGTAAAAGGTTATCATAACATACAGTACATGAGATCCCGTAATAATAATTGCATATTTGTATATCAAGAAATGATTTCAAATAAATATTTAATTACTTATAAAAGGACTTAACAGTGAATTAAGATTTGAGGAAAAACTCTTATCAGAGAAAATAACACAAAGAATTTCAAACAAAAAATATAATGAAAACCTTTTAGTAAATGATAAAATCATATAACGGAATATTATTGTCAGGTATTTATTTACACAAAAATAGTGCATAAAAGTGATACCAATATTAGTATTAACATACACTGCTAATTGTTTGACATTTTTTTCGGTAGTTTTTATCAATAATAAGATTTCATATCTTTGTAGAAAACAGAGTTTGTTTAAGAGTTGTGGAGTCAAACATAATTATGGCATTTCTAGTGGAAAGCCTACGTTGTTATGAGGTTTATCTATGAGTTTTGGTGGCGAGGAGTGGATATACCTATTTTGATACCTGTATTGCACACCTTATCATACATAATACCACTTCTCTCTCTCTCTCTCTCTCTCTCTCTCCTATTTTAAACGACAACTCCTTTTTATATCATATATTATGCACTAATTATTAGCGAAAAAATAGTTGTGTTCATGATCTCAATGGACTGTTAAATGTATCGTACATTTGGATGACTAATATATGGTGTTATTTATTATTAGTTTACAATTAATTTGATATCAAACCGAGAGTGAGAATAATTAGTGCCAAAACACACTTTTCAAACTATTTTGTAGTTCAGTATTTTATACACTATTTACACAAATAGTGCCCTTTTTTATAAAGTACTTCATTTCATACAATTGTGGGAATGGGATGCTGTGGTTGTTCGCTGTATGCGTCCACTATTACAGCGGGAATATTTACCTTGGTGTGTTGTTATTTTGTTTATAATTATCATGAATATTTTTGATGGATATGGATATATGACTTATAAATTATATTTTCAATGATAGTTGGATTGCATAGCATACCTGCCATTTGACATATACTTACTCATCGTAATAACGAGCAAAGATTTCGCTAAAGACAAAAATGTAGACTTATTGTACGAGCTCAAAGATAAAAATGGTGAAAATAAAGCATACACTATGAACTATAAAATTAATCTCATTCATCACTATTATATCATTAGTATTCATATCATTGTTGGCTATTAAAATCGCCATCCGGGTCATTTGGTTCTTCACGGCAATAGCGCTGTTTGTGGGAAATGCGGTCAGTATTTGTCACACTATTAGACAATAATTTATTTCTAATTACAATATATTATATAATATACTGTATATACAGAAAGAGTATAAGAAATGTCTGCAAAGTTGGCAATTCCTAACCGCTGCCAGAATTGTCTTTGCCATCGCCACCTGTATCTATGGCATTGTGAAACTGGAGGTAAGTGCTAACCGATCGTAAAAAATTGTATGTGGTTAAAAAAATATACTACCCATGCATAATAGCTAATTACTGCTAATAACTCATTGATTTATAGTTTATTCCTGTAATAACCAAGTTATGTTTTTTATCAGGATGACATGCAGAAGTTGTTTAAGGATTTCGATCCCAAGAAATTGGAAAATTACAAAGAATATATCGCCAAGTTTATCCTGATGATTAACTTCATAGAGTTGGGCCCTATTTGGTGGATCATATTTGTAAGTCGATGGCCAAACTTAGGGCTAATTTTTGACTCCATGTCCTATATATAAGATTCCTTTTCACATTTTATCCCCATCAATTTAGTTCTGTTTTAACCAAGCTATTAATTATAGTAGTAAATGTAATTTATTTTGCATCCCTTTCCTCACCCCCGGGGGAACTGTAGATCGCGTTCATGATATTCGTGTTCAGACGGTCCCAGGAGATCGACACCAGGAAAGTGTCTCAAGTGAATCAATGGGGAAACTTCGGGAACTCATCGCAGGCTAACGGGAACGCCGCCAACGCCAGACCCCAGTCCTCAGCACTGGCACACCCCGTGAGCCTCACCCAAGAGCCCAATCCTTTCACTCACCACCGCGAAGAGGACACCAATAATAACAATAAGCGACAGACAGAGGCACCGGTAGCCTCTTTCCAGCCGGCCCGCCAACCAGACAACTACCCGCCCGTCCGACAACCGGACCCCTACCAGCCCCCAGCCTACCAGCCCACCCATCAGCCGGAAAGTTACGTAACGCCAACCCCGTCAGCGCCGGAACCTTCGGTGCAACCGATACTACAGATCAATGAAGTGATTGCTATACCCCGGGTCACTCTGGCACCCAAACCCACTGTAGCGCCCAAACCCTATACCTCCACCACCGCAGCTAATGTCCATCGATATGAACCTAATTATGACAACCGGGGCGTGAAATACGGGTCCAATTTGGCCCAACGGAGCAGTTATTTAGAGTACGATAGGGAACGGGAGGCCCAACGGGCACCCAAACGTAACAATAGCTTCAATACGGCTCAACCATATCAGCAAAGGTCTCGCAATTACTACTCGTATGATAATAGGGGTTATCATAGCAGCGAACAGGACCTCAGGGGTGACCAGTATCCGGGGTTAGTTAAGAGGCCGTCCACTCGACGCAATTAAAATGGTGTTTAAGTTTGTTTGTGGAAATTATTTTACCTGTATGCTTTTGAAAAGTATTTGTGTTTCTAATCATGTATTTATTGAAGTAATGTTTTTATCAATTCATACCAAAAAATGTCAATTTTGTATTAATTTTATGTTTAATAAACAATTTATGAACAAATTATTTAAGAGTTTCTGTATTTTAATAATACTTTTCATCGAGTGTTCAAATATATGTATAAAACTGAAAGTAATCTCAAAGTTTGAGTGAAAAAGTTTTTATTGCTATAACTTTTAGCAATACTGTACTTATCAAGAATTAGTCATGAATTCAATACAACTTTTTTCTATTCAGTCAAAAGTTTTAGCTATATTTTTACGACAATTGGAGATTAAACAGTATTTATCGCAACTAGCAAAAAAGTATTTCACACTTTAATCTCTCATTTCGTAGCCAATAGTTACAATCAAAAGCCGATTAAATCAATGGTATTAACGATTTCTATGTTTAAATGAAACCTCAACGCAAGTCCTGTTTGCGATAACTGTTTTCCTAAATAACACATTAATCGCTATACAATTCACTGTAAATGCACACCAAATGCGTGAATAGATCCCTTTATAATTAAAATTGATTTTATGGATTGATTTCTAATCACAAAAACAAAACATGGGTTTCGATATCAACCGCTTCCGGGAGTCGGATATCAAAGCGGAGTTCATTTGTCCCATTTGTCGGGACATCCTCGAGGATCCCCTACTCGTCCAGACCTGTGAACACGTCTTTTGCCGGAACTGTATCGACCAATGGCTACGGGAAAGCCAACAAAAGTCGTGTCCCATCGACCGGCAAGAGATCAGCGATGAATCGCTGAGACCTCCGCAGCGGTCGTTCAAGAATCTGATCCAAAGTCTACTGATTTCATGTGATTTTGTGGCCAATGGGTGTCAGGAATGGATCAAAATCGACGAACTGCCCGCCCATACCAGTGCCTGTAATTACAATCCAGTGATTATGGTTCAAGAGATTGAATGCCCGGCTAATTGCGGGGCAATAGTCAGACGGTGTGACAGTACTGATGACCACAATTGTGTGATATATCTCAAGAAAATCATTGACAGCAATAGGGATAGTATGGAAGAGTTGTGTCAAGAGAACAAACGCCTGACCGATGAGTTCAATGCCCTTAAGACTAAATATAATCACCTGAAGGACGAGTACGAGGAGGCGATGAATCATTCATTGACAGCAATAGGGATAGTATGGAAGAGTTGTGTCAAGAGAACAAACGCCTGACCGATGAGTTCAATGCCCTTAAGACCAAATATAATCACCTGAAGGACGAGTACGAGGAGGCGATGAATCAATTGAAACACTTTTGCATAGAAAACAAGAAGTTTTCCATAGATTTAGCAAATAGTGAACAGAAACTATCAGACAATACGGAAAATCTCTGCAAATTAAACGAAAACAATGCCTCGAAAGTGGTAACCATTGAGACACTGAAGACCAAAGTGGAAAGTCTTCAGAAAAACAACGAGACATTGATTCAGATGTTGAGCACACGGGACACCACCACCGCCACTGATTCCAATGATAACTGCCATCAAAACTATAGCTCAGAGCTATTATCACTCATGAGTGCGGGCGAGAAATCACCACAAATAGAGGGAACAATCTCTGGTGACATCACAATCACCACATCCATGGAGAACAAACAACTGGTCGACGCTCTCATCAATAGACACCAATTGTCTAACCGTCGAGTGATCACAGCTATGCTGTCCATAGACAGGGGTCTGTTTGCTCCCTCGGCGGTCAGCTATGCCTTACACCACATCCGGTCCGTAGGCTACGGCGCCCATACGGGTCCGGCTACCTATGAGGCAGCCCTACTCCAGTTCCTCGAGCCGCACCTGACCCCCAGTTGTAAAGTGCTGGATATCGGGTCGGGAACTGGATATCTGACAGCTTGTATCGCATCTATGGTCGGACCCAAGGGTCGAGTGATTGGTGTGGAGCACATCCCACAGTTGGTCCAGCAGTCCATCGAAACCACTGACAAACACTACCCGCAGCTGAAAGGGTCGGGCGTTATGAAGATATACTTAGGGGACGGCAGGTTTGGACACTCATCTGAGGGACCCTATGATCTCATATTCATTGAGCCGCTGACAAGACGTGTGCCGCAGAAGCTGGTCGACCAGTTGAGGGCCGGCGGCAGGATTGTGGTGCCTATCGGTGCCCGAGAAAAGGACATCAATCTGGAGCTGTTCACCAAACAGGCCAACGGAGAGGTGGTCCGACTCGTGCTGTGCGATGATTGGCTGACCAGTTGAGGGCCGGCGGCAGGATTGTGGTGCCTATCGGTGCCCGAGAAAAGGACATCAATCTGGAGCTGTTCACCAAACAGGCCAACGGAGAGGTGGTCCGACTCGTGCTGTGCGATGATTGGCGGCTAATGCAAGAGAATACACCGGATCTGCTCGAAGACCGGAAGTTGCAGTTGAGGTCCGGTTGGAAGCTTAGGCTCGGCTTCTGATGCGGTCATCACTTTCTGAAGCGACACATCCCTGAGTGATGTCTGAAGCGTTTCACCGAAAAAATCACTTTTAATTTCGATAACCATTTAAAACATAACAAAATAAATACAATTAATTGCAATAATAATAAAACAATTCATTCATTAATACATAAACTCCGAGACATTGAGTCCACACAAAGACATTAAAAAATAAAATCCAATAAATTAGTAAACTATCAAAAAAATCATCACAAAAAACGCCAATTCGTGTCCGCATTGCAGACATTCCTCGGCATTAAGACTAATGAATGGTATAATGAGTATTGAACTGATCCGGGAAGAGGTGGTGATAATCAACGGCAACCCTCTATGACCACACTTTCCACATGAGAGCCATTGTCTGGTTACTGATCTGCGGACCAAACAGTGGGTTGAGTTGAGCCAAGTATGTGGTCAACCACATGGCGTAACAGCAAACTGATCCGGCCATCAGCATCAGCTTCATGATAGGTCTGTGCGGTGACTCCGGCAGGAATATAGGCGCCACACCTCCTATGCCGCCGAAGATTAGCGTAAACAAGAGGAATATACCGAAACCCATGGCCACCGATAGCTCCAGAAGGTGTCAAATGTGTTGAGGATGTGTTCAGATGACTCTTCGCGTGTCTGTGAGGCTGTGGTCTATGTGAGGATCAATTCATCGCTCAATTGAGACCACAATTCAAGTGACAATTCAATCGCTATTTTACAGACACTTATGACAACACAAACTGAGGGATCGTTTGCTAATCGCGTAACGTATGCGTCAATGCAATCGCCCACTTGCTGTTAAACTTCACTCGTTCATAAAACCCATTAACTGCACACGTATTACGGCTACAGTTAACACATTTACTCACAAAATAATTATTTCAACACTCAATGCAAACCAATATCACAGATGTTATAACAATACCATCCCTTTCAGTGATAAACACAAACACAACATAACAGTACGTATTGTCCGTCAAAGCCGTGGATCAGCTCTTGGATGTCTTAACCGCTTATACGAACCCCTCGGTGGACATGGAGGACGACTTGAAGAGCCACTACGACTGCATTATCACCGGGACTGGACTGACGCAGTCGGTGGTGGGGGCGGCGTTGGCCAGAGTCGGCAAAAGTGTGTTTCATTGCGACCAAAACCACTTCTACTCACAGGAGTGGCAGTCCATGAACTTCACGCACGCCGTCAACTGGTGTCACACCACACATACCGGTGCCGCCATCGATGGCGAATCGGGTGCCAGTGCTCGCCATCAACCCCTACCCGCGTCCACACACCCGGACCTACGACTGCTGAGGGATCGGGAGCTGTACCGCAACTGCCGAAGAGGTGATGTCGTGTCAAATGTGTGCCAAATATCCTATTTATGCGATGAGGACGCGCCGGACGTCACCCCAACAGCTCCTGTCGCTCCCGAAGAGGTCGATGTCGGGCCAGTGGTGGCAGAGATGGCGCCCGACGTAGCGGTGGGTGAGGTCGCGGCCGCCGCAGCCCAACCAGACGGTGATAATGAGGCGCCGATGGAGACGACCGCCGATGACGATAGGCCTCAGAGTTGGTCGCTCTTGAGGTTCAACCTCGAGAGCCGGCGATTCAATTTGGATCTAACGCCACGAGTAATGAGTTTTTGATTATGATCTCTGAGTTTTATCACTTTAATTGATCCCACATTCTTGCCATACGATTATCAGCTGCTCTACAGTCGCGGCTCAATGGTCGACCTCCTGGTGTCGTCCAATATCTCGAGATATGCCGAGTTTAAGGCGATTACACGCATACTGACCACCATTGATGACCAGATAGTGGAGGTGCCGGTCAGTCGCGGCGATATCTTCAACAATAAGGACGTGTCGGTGATCGACAAGAGAATGCTTATGAAGTTTATGACATTCTGTAGCGAATACGACAGACATTACGCCGACTACGAGAGTATACGAACACTGGAGGTCCGATGGAAAGCCGTTTTTAATACTGATTTTGTATTTTATAGAGTATGAGAACCAACCGATCGGGGAATTCCTATCGGCACAAAACCTGTCGCCAATCCTCCAGAACTTCATACTCAACGCCATTGCAATGGCACCGGACACCTGTCCCACGAAGGACGCCCTAAAACTGATTCATAACTTCATACACAGCGCCGGTAGGTTCGGGAATACGCCTTTCCTGTTCACGCTGTACGGCACGGGAGAGCTGCCGCAGGCCTTCTGCCGACTGTGCGCTGTGTTTGGCGGCACCTACTGTCTGAAGAAGCGCTGTGACGCACTGGTAGTCGACGACAGCAATGCGTGCAAAGCGGTTGTGATGGACGGCCACCGCTTTGACTGCGATTTCGTGGTCACCGACTATACGGTCGCCGATTGCGAGGGAAAGGCGTGTGAGACGAGTGATACGGACGTGAAATACATATCGCGAGCCATTCTGATCAGCGACGGGTCGATCAAAAGGGCCGATACGGAGCACCTATCGCTCCTACACATACCGGCGTCGGCCGATAATAAGGCGCCGGTTTTTCTCATAGAAGTCGGTTCATCAGCACTGGTCGCACCCAAAGGCCTTTGTATGACTCGTTTTGGCATTTATTTGAGTTTTTTGAATGATTTTTTGGTAACTTTTTGATCCTAACCCCCAAACAGATGTGCAGTACTTGTGGTGCGACTCAATGGGCGATAATGCGAAACACGATTTGATGCCAATCGTGAAAAAGTTATACAACTTTACGCCCGAAACGGACGCCCAGAAGCCGAAAGCCCTGTGGAGTGTGTACTTCAACCAGAGGTGCACTAAACCCGTTATTCCCGATCTGCCCGCAAATGTTTACGTCACGACTCCTCCCATCAATGAACTAGACTTTGATTTCGCTATAAATGAGGTATAGTTGAGACCCGAGAGAGAGAGAGAGAGAGAGAGAGAGCTATGAATACATTTTATAATCTATTTTTGTGTTGAACTTAAGGCCCGAACGATATTCAAGTCGATGTACCCCAACGAGGAATTCCTACCGCGAGCTCCCGATCCCAATGAGATTATATTCGATGGCCCGCAGAATGATGTAGAGCTGAATGAGCCCAACAACCAGCCCATGGCACCGGTAGTTAATAATGAGAACAATTCAAATAACACTTAACTATAATGATAACAATTGTGTTAAGATTCCCCCGAATGTACTGTCAGTTTATATATAATGTGATTATAAGTGATTGATTAGAGAATTAATTATTATATACTTTTATTGTGTATATTATGTCAAAGAATATGCTTGTATTGAATGTTTAAAATGGAAATTAATTTAATATTTTCTCAAAATAAACCTTTTAATTAGAATTATGCAAACAATTGTGTGTTTTGTTTAATACAGTTGAGTCAATACATTAATGAATATTTCTATTCAAATAGCTATAAATAGGTTAAAATGCTAAATGTTTTGATGATTATTGGCGCATATTTTCAGTTTAATGATACTTTCAGTTATTTATCAAATATTTAATCTTATATTTAATGATAAATGTTAACAAAAAATGGTTATGTCTAGTGATTAAAGCGGTTATATTTGAAATGAATTAAAGTTATGCTAAATATGAATTTAAATAACTATTTAACAGTAGTTTTAAACTTTGAAATACTGTGTCAATGGATCCACTGTTGTCCGGATGCTATAGAGATCGAGCCGTGTATTTGTGTCCACGAGTCGGACAAACAGATATCAATCGCATGTATGGGCGCTGATGTCGACGACTATAACATCGAGATAATCATCGATAATGTCAACCATTATCTCCTCTCAAACTCGCAAACTATACTCAAAAAGTTTCAAATGACAAACACCTCGGTCACTGAACTAACTGAAAGGGTGTTTGGGATAATACCGTACGTAACCGTCGAGGTCTACGACAATAAACTCCTAAACCTCTCAAACTTCACCGAAAAGTCGTTGATATCAGCCTTATATACACTAAAATCGTTTTACGCCGCAAACAACCAGTTATACGACAGCACCGGTAGTCAATTGGTCTCAGCGTTTGCCAACTTTCCACACCTGGAGTACCTGACCATCAAAGAGAGTAATGTAGAGATCATATCCAAGAACTCGTTCCCCAGTGTCCGACAAAATCACATAAAATACTTGGATTTGAGTGGCAATGGCATCACACATGTGGAGGAATACGCTTTCCACGGATTATCGCATTTAATTCATTTGGATTTAAGTAACAATAGTTTGACTCAATTGGACGCCAACTCGTTGGCCATCCGGAGCCCATCCGCCCAACCCTTACAGCTATGGCTGCAGTCAAACCAACTGACATCCCATGAGTTGAGCCCTAAACTGTTCCCGAGTATTAAGCGTCCATTAATGGTGTTTATGGCCGACAATAATATGCATTACTTTCCCGAAAGTGTCTTCAGGGAAGTGATTGAATCCGATGATTATTATTTGGTTGACGTCAACGACAACCCATTCCTCTGCGACTGTGAGCGACATAAATGGCTGTTCAGTATTGATAGGCATTTGCGGTCAAAGATCCGGAATATGTATTGCAGTGAACACACCATTTGGCACTTCGAGGACATTGTCACTAAGAATTGTGTCTAAAGTTTATACATGTCTAAAGTCTATGTTTTTTATTAGCAATTTAAATAATTCACACATTTGGTTATATGTAAGTAGATTTTATTTCATTCATAAAATTTCTCAAAAAAACTGATTGTGCTTATAATTTTGAAGTGTAATAGTTTTTAAAATAAACTTTAACCCCTATGTTAACGAATACGTTTCCATATGCGAATCGCTTGATTACGAGGTCTCACTTCGGAATTTGACATAAAATATAGTTCATTATAATTGCCGCTTATCTGACCTATTTTCTTAGGCTGACCGCTTATCTGGTATATGTAATTACTACCCTGCATCTCACGATTAGTGATCCTAAGGTCACCATACCGATTATATGGATTATTATTTTCAGGTACAGTTGTCACTTGATCATTTTGCGGTTGGTCACCCCCGTCAAACTTATTACTCGCACCCCCTTCGGCCCGGAAAAATAAGCCAGCAAAGTTTGGCGTGATATTGTCCCAGTGATACTTTGGCCATAGCGTATGGGGCGTGGGCTGACCAGGGTACTGGGTGTATATAAATCCAATGGGTATTTGTTGGTCTCGTTTGATCTCGCTAATTTCACTGGCCATAGCTTCTAGACTTTGTCGGAGTTCGTGTGTAGACTCCATCAGCATTTCGTTGGATCCAGAAGTGGACTGTACATCACTGGGCTGTGATACTGGAGGGTCGGTATCATCCATTGGCTTATAAGCGCGGGCTTTGGGTAACAGTTTCTCAAACAGATAGCCACCAGTAAAGCCGTCCATACGTTTCAAGTAATCCATGTCTTTGTCTATCAATTGGTCGTAATTCCGATCGATGAACGCCTTCACGGCTGCCATCAATGTCTTGAGTTGATAACTGAACCCAACTCTCGACACAAACTCCAGGTTCTCGTAGGAGACTATCCGTTGGAAGTGTTTGGCCACTCGTGTCAGTAGTGAACGGGTTTGGTATCTGTCTGCGAGTATACAGACATTCAATAGTAGATCCAAATCAATATCAGTATCGTCTTCGGAGTCATCGAATGGCAGTTCCGATGTATACATAAAACAGAGGAATGTCTTAAACGCCTCATAAGTGGTGTCTTTGATGTCAACCTCTTTGGCATGACTTTCGGCGTAATCCCCAGAAAACAATGACTGAAAGTAAGCGCTTCTCATAATTAGGATGTCTTTGAGTGCGGGAAGTGTTTTGTCGCCCACTCTGAACAACACATCACTTCTGGTTTGAAGTATAAGTTTATCCATTCCTTGACTCAATTTATCGGTTCCCTAGAAGGCCATCAAATAATTGTCTCATTAGTACACAAAAAACTATTAAAAATAACTGGATTTGAAAGCCAGTATTGAATTGAGTTTCAAAGCCGATGATCACCTCGTCGTTCACTGCCTTGTTGTTAGACATCTTGTGTCACAACTTTAGTTATAAGTCAATTGTAATCAAATGATAATAAGATTTTATTAAACAGAAACGAGCCCAGGTTAGTTAGACCTTCGTTACTAAACACAATGGTTATTCAATGGTGTTCTACAATGTCTTTGTCACAAAGGAATCGCGTTACTAATAGTGAACTTAATTATATATTATAAAAGTGTCATTTAAAGTAATGTAATTATAAATAATTTATAATATCATATAACTTATACACGTACTCTGTCATAAAAGTAACACTTTGTATACGTAACACTGATAGAAATGTTTCAAGAACATTTGGTTGCATTCAAATAGATTTGATTTTATAAAAATTATATTTACATTTTGCGGAATATTCTCAATTTATTGTTATATTACATTTGTATTACTGTACTACTAATGTTGTGCTAAGTTAGCAAGGAATATCAAAAATGTTTTTCATTTTCAAACACCGTGCTACTAAATAAATAATTTAATAACGCCATCTAATCAATATCTCGCATGAAATAAATGAAACTAATTTAAGATTTATCACTATGAACACGTCGCAAATAATCTTGGTGATCGGGTATGTAATAAGTGTTTGTAGTAATAGAAATAGGATGACAATGATTACTTGGGTTATAATATCAATCTACTTCTTCCATTTTATTTTTATCATCCATTGCCATACAAATGCGGGCCTTTGGTATCACTTTCTCCAATATATAGCCACTGGTGAGGCCGTCTACACGTTTCAAGTAATCCATGTCTTTAAAGATCAATTGGTCGAAATCCTGATCGATGAACGTCTTCACGGCTGCCATCAATGTCTTGAGATTATAGGCAAACCCAACTCTCGACACAAACTCCAAGTTCTCGTACGAGACTATCCCTCGGAAATGTTTGGCCACTTTTATGAGTAACGCTGGGGTCTGGTATCTGTCGGCGAGTATACAGACATTCAATAGTAGATCCAAATCGATATCAGTGTCTTCTTCGGTGGTATCGTATGGCAGTTCCGATGTATACATAAAACAGAGGAATGTCTTAAACGCCTCATAAGTGGTGTCTTTGATGTCAACCTCTTTGGCATGACTTTGGGCTAAGTCTAAGGAAAACAGTGACCGAAAGTAAGCGCTTCTCATAATTAGAATGTCTTTGAGCGCCGGTAGGTTTTATCGCCCACTCTGAAGACCACATCACTCCTGGTTTGGAGCATAAGGTAATCCATTTGAGGACACAATCTATCGGTTTCCTGGAAATTATTTAAATAATAGTTTTATTCAATGAAATAAAAAGTTTTGATTTTAAATCCATGTATTGAATTAAGTGTCAAAACCGGTGGTCACCTCTTCATCGGCCACTAAATCGTTGGATACGTTGGCAAACATTTTAATACAGATATTTGTAATTATAAATCAATTAAACTTGCTAATATTCCTGGTTAATTATACTTAATTAGAAATTATGTTTGTTTTATTCGTATTACAGGTATTATAATCAATACAACAATGGCTTTGGTTTCGTAGCAATAATTGCGATAAAAGTTTTATTTAAAGTGTTTTAACGATAAGTGACTCATTTATTATAAAATTATAAATGTTATTCAAGTTCTTTATTATACAGTAATTAATGTGTATTTTAAAAAATTTTATACAATCATATTGGAAATACAATTAATTATTAAATGTTTAATTATATAAATGCTAAGTTATTTATAAGTTACTTCTATCTCATAAAATGGGGTTTAAAATATTAATGTTTTAATCTTATTATAACATTAAATGTATTAATGTTACATTTTAAATTAAATGTGCTTGATTATATTACACCCCCAATTTAACGAATACGTTTCCATATCCTAATGGCCATATTTTTAGGCCGTACCTCACCGGCCGATACCATAAACCTAAGCCCGTCCTTGAAGGTGCCACCAGGTTTACCGGTATATATTTGTTCACTCCAATCACCAGGGTTAATAGCCAATTCATTTATATGGCTAGTAAACAGATCCCAAGTGGACTTGACCCCTATTAAATGGGGCGCATTATCTCCCTGTGCCTCACCATACGTTTGTGAGCACCGTCTGCCCTAAAAAATAGCCAGCATATCTGATCTTTCAAAATAAAACCCGGATTATATATAAGCTATGAATTGAAAGATTTTTCATTGAAACCAATGGAAAATCTTTCAATTCATAGCCTATATATAATCCGGGTTTTATTTTGAAAGATCAGATATAGTGAGGTTACATCCGCCCAACGAGTACCCGGCCATAGGTTAGTAGGCGACTCTTGGAAAGGTAACTGTGTGTATATAAATCCAATGGAAATGGCTGTTAAATAAATTATAAATAGTTTTAATTACAAATAAATTATTATATGAGTTAGATTGAATTTAGATTAACATTTTAAAATGATACATTTTTAAAAACTTTTTACTAACTTTATTTAGTGGAAGCTTTGGCTAAAAAAGCAAAAATTGAGAAATTTATATAATTTCAAAACCCATGTATTGAACCCATTTCCCTCCCCCTTATTGCCAATCATTGGGTTCTCATTAATTTCACTTTACAAAGCAAATACAAAATACAATTTTAATTGTGATAGTGCCTAATTTTATAAACTTTATTGAGTAACCATGGGTGCGGGTCTATTGACCTAAAAACCAATTGACCTAAACTTAAATAACTTAATGACCAGTAGGTAAATATACCTGATGACCAGTGTAAAATGT